TGCCCACATTGTTACTGCACATGCACATCATGCATCGACCTGGTCAGTCATTTGCGAATCTATCGCACTTATGAACTACTGTCTAGGGCTCCGACACTTACCGCATCCGGTTTCCTGTCCGTAGTGCCCACGCGCATTCGCATGGTTCTATTGGGCCACATGCGCCTCCATGAAAACCTGTGGTAGAATGCCACCGTCTACACTACCCCATATTACCATTCCTCACCAGCACCTACACCATACGTGGACACGCCAACATCACATACCAAGTGCTGGTAAGGCAACTCCCACTGAAAAGTAAATTAGATCTTCGGTTCCTTTTGCATACGACCCTTCAGCTCCATATGCGATCGTAGCCTGCAACTTTACGGATTAACTATAAGTCATAGGTTGCAGCACTAAAAACCGACGCCTTACCAGACCACGCGATCAGGCCAGTGCGTGATGTGTACTGATCCGTGGACCAGGAGTCATACAGTTAAAACATAGCATGGAAACGTTTCTGCTATTGTCTCTAGTGAAGAATCTGCGACGGATTTCGAATCGCAGGGCTGAAGAAATGCAGGGCGAGGAGGACCATAAGAATATGGAGAATTTTTTCGACTTCATCAGGGGGGTCTGTGGCGCACACAAAAAACGACGCCACTACTCAGCTTTAAAGGAGCAAAACTCTTTACGGGGCCAAATTTTGAAGTACGTTGCATAGCGCTTCAGAGCCGCCCCCAAACGTTTATGCACAAACTCTAATAGGCCATCGACCGGCTCCCTTCAGTGGAAATCAATAATGGCCTGAGCCGCTCGCCTTCCCTTCCCAAAGGAATCAGAGCGATGCAACAGTTTAAGAGTAGAAAAGCACTAAAAAGGTAATCACGACCGAACTGTACAAGCATAGCGACTTTCAGTAGATAGACAATCAGATGTGGCGGCAAAGACGAGTCCTTCGGGTCTTTGAGGACGCTACTACTGTGCCTATCTACAAGCGCAACGGTAACCGTCAGCTTTATGGCGGTCAAAGGAAAATCCCAGTGTTCAACACTGTTTTAAAGATTTTCTCATCCCTCCCAATCGTCTTAATTATCACCTGGAACAGGGACCGCTCCCCGAGAGCGAATATAGATTTTAAAGGAACCAAGACATTGTCGACATGATCTTTGCGGCACGACAATTACAGGAGAACTGCCACGAAATGTACATTAGCCCCTACACTAAGTTCGTGGATCGGGCAAAATTTCTAGATACCGTGAACCGCGACGGGCTCTGGAACACCATGTTGATTTCAGCGCATGTCTGTAGCGTGTCACATGCATGTTGCGATAGCCCACGATAGGATTATGGCGCACGCCACGAACAAGCGAACAGTCCTAGAAGCAGTCACTTTGACCAATGAATTCAAGTGGAATCACTCCCATCCTCTTCAGCCTTAGCTTTACTGCTATGTAGATGGGCGGAAAGCAACCCACGTTGTCAAGATGTATTGGCAACTTGAAATGTCGGAATGCCAGGATTAGTGCGCTATGGCATGCAACCTTCTGCCATTAAATGATCAGCCAACCCTAGTAGCGTTTTAACCTTGCATGTACTAATGCCTTCATGCGTTTCCAAATGGTACACCTAACCCGTTCAGATGGCTACTGTCTACTACTATTTATACTAAGTATGTGTCTTTTCCTAAGTTCTAGTACCTGACATTTGAACCAGTGAAAAAAGATGCCGGAATGTAAGGTGCATGGTCAGTGAATGATTTGTTTTCGAACTTTCTTCTTCGAGGTCAGTAACCGCGAGTAATCGATATATAAGGGGCTCCAGATTATAAGGTACACTGTCGTTTTATGAGAAAATTAAAGGCTTTTATGTGCGGAAAATACGGTAATCAAATGCAAATAACTAGGGTTTTCACGGAAACATTTATGAGGTCAAAAGCGTTCATAAACTTGAAGAAAGTAAATTGAACTAAAACCTGCCTCCTCGGAGTTTTTAAAAACAACGGAGTACACCACCACCTTCGAATTCGGGAAGCAATGTGGTCAAAAAATTCTGTGTGAATTAAAAAATACGGCTTTCACGAAACACTGCCTGCACATGCATACGTTTAAGGGAGGTTGGGGAACAAACATGGCCGTCTAATATGAAGCTTATTTACTTCCGATGTTTTCTGGAAATCGTGAAGTTATTTCTGTTCAATATGTCCATAGGGTTGCGAAAACCTTTGAAAATTGTGTTCGCTTAAATTGGAAAGCACTTTTAAGTGGGACAAACGGTTAGGGAAGCAAAGTCAACGTTTTTCGCAGTATAAATATGCAGTGATAAGTAGAGCATTCGATCTGCAAGCCTTTAAACAGCTCATTGGGGATGGAATAGGTTCACTGAGACGAAGCCGTTTGAAACGTGAAAACATATTTGTACTTCCTCCTACTTGTTTTGAAGCACGCGTTCCCGATGCAGCAGGCAATGCTTGTGTAAGGCAACTGGCATTCAAAAGTACATAACGGGGCAGA